AAAATAGATTATTTTTTTTTATACAGAGGAGTTGCGGTCTTTCAAAAGTTAATGATTATACGTGATTAAAAAAAAAAAAATAAGTTTAAACAATCGTAAGACAATTTTAAAAAAATATTTAAAATATACTGTATAATTAATTGTTTCAAATTTAATTAAAACATTGGAATTTTATTATTGATAGAATAAATATTCTTATATACTATTAGCTATAAAAACATTTATTATTAAATTACTTTTTGAAATAACGCGCCATCTGTCTGACTCACGTGAAGTCCGATTCCAAGGCATTAATATTAACTGGACTTAATCGGATGCAACGCCCTTATAGACTATTTAGGTTCTCCAACCCTTGATTAATAGTAACATAAATATTTATTTAAGTAAAAAAAAAAAAAAAATTTACAGTACATATGTACATTATTTAATTATATAAATAAAAATACATAGTAATTTAAATAATAACAGTATAAAATAAATTAAAATGTCATTTTCAGCTTTGAAAATTTTACTTTTTGTCTTTCTATCTATTCGTAAAAAGTTTTACCTATTCCAAAAAGTTGTTTTTCTATGTAGCATTTTTGTTCGTTTGTCTTTTTTTATTATTTACGTCAAATGATCGTTTCATTCTTTTTGAATTCGATTAAATTTGACTAAAATAATTTATTATAGTTTTCGGAGTAAAAAAAAAAAAAAAAAAAAATAAAGTAAAAAAAAAAATCATCCATCCCAACTTCTTGTTTTTTTTTTTGTTTTATTTTTTTTTTTTTGTACACAAATAAACCACAGATCTTAAAATGCCTCCAATTCGAGAACATCAATCACCTTTGGAGGCTCAACAAAATCCATCCGTATCTTCTGAAGACGAAGATCCATCCTCTCCTGCTAAAAGTGATAAATCTATGTCACCAACTGATAATGATCGTAAACGCGGTAAACGATCACCGAGTATAAATACACGAGCATCGAGAGTTGGAGTTACGAATTTTATTAATGTAATAAAAAGTTTACATCCAGGGGAATCCTTAAATTATTTTCCTATTACGAAAGAAACATTACAACAATATATTGATTCTAAACGTAAAGCCCTCATAAAAGCAGGATCTTTAGAACAATATTTACAACATATTCAAGCTTATAATATTGCACTTGGATTTGGTTGGGATGGCCACGTATTTGGTCCAATTATTAAAAAAGCTTTAGATGAATTAAGATCTTATGAAGAAGAAGTATCAAAATCTTCTTCTCAATCTATTTTGTCAACACCTGTTACTTTAGATGCTATTGTAACAAGTAATGCATCTGTTCCCGAAGCAATGAAAATCGATAATAGAAATCCTAATTTATTTACTATTAATGAAAGTGATGAAAGGATCGGTACTACGATTTACGTAGATCTTGAAAACGACATTTCATCCCTCAGAGGTAATACTAATCATAATTATTGAATGCACATAAATTTATTATGTATATCGCGTCGACTATCTTCCAACATTGTCATAAATAATCTTCTAGCATTTGTCTAACATTATCTAATATTATCTTCTAACATTACCTTCTAAAATTACCCTTTTAATATTTGTCACCTATAATTATCATGATTTATAGAACAAGAAAAGGTTTCTAAAGTAATACCTATAGTCTGTTTCGATACTACAAAGATTCCATTCACTATCATGGATCAACATACCAGAATAAATCTTGATAATTTAAATTTCTCAGATACATTACAGAATCTTCGACAATTATATTCTAATATTTCTTTCGTAAACCTTCCAAAATCTTGGGGATCTGTAGATATTTCACGAATTTATTATCGAATTGGAACACAAGATGATTCGCAACATTTTGGATTATTTGATGAATCAACATTTAATCGCTTTTGGGCTAGTTATGATGACCGTGAGGCTGGAAAAGATGTTCAATTGGTTATTTATCGTAATGCAGATCCTTCGATTGGTAAGTTTTAATTAAATATATATAAATATATATATATATATAATCATTAAAAGGAAGTACGGATAAGCATCTATTCGGCCGTTGTTTCAATTCCAATTTTATCATATAAGCATTCATGTAGATCAAATTTTTATTTATTTATATTTAGTAAATACATCAGAAATTAGCCCAGAACTTTTTGGTTCACAAAGTAAATCAAGTAGAATAACGTATATGGATCGTAGATCTGGTACTTTTTTTATTAATTTACAAAATTATTTAATTAAATGGTTTCTGCCCAAAAGTACGTCATTCTACATTGTAAAATCATATATAATGTAAAATAATGTAATTTTGAATAGAGATCATCTACTTTTTTGAAATATCTGACCTTATTTTTATATAATTCTAGATATTCCTATTTTGAAGTCTGTAACCATTAGGTCACCAACTACTGTGTACAAACAAAAAGTAGCTGTTAGTGACACAACGACTTTTTCATCATTAATTTCATTCGCAATTAAAGCGATTCCTCCGGCTGGAAAGCAATTTGTTATCCGAGCATCTGATGGTTCATTCGAATATGTACCGGAAGATACTATTAGAGATGTTATAGTGGGCGTTGAACATACCGATTTAATTGTTACCGTCGAAGATATTAAACAAATTGATTTTGATTACTTTTAAAAAAATAATATATTTTAATAAACTTGCAACCAAAATTCTTTATTTTTTTTTTTTAATACTAGTATTTTTGTAAAAGGAAAAACGAAAAGAAAAACGCTATTACTCTAATCTTACGAACAATTCTTTTTTTTTTTTTATAATTTTTATTTTATGTAAATTACGTTTTTAAATAATTTTTTTTTGTACCAATTTTTTTTTTTTTTATATAACGATAGATATGCATATGTATATGAACATTTTTCTTTGTCCCCATTTATTTATTTTTTTTTTCTATCTTGCAGTGTTTCTTTTTTTTTTGATAAATTTTATATATATTATTCTATGTTTTTTTATAGTCATGAAAAATTGTACATAATTTATTTGTTATTGCTTTTTTTTTTTTTTTAAAAAAAAAAAAAGAAATCATTAATATCAATTATATATTATTGCTCTTTTACGATTGTTTAAACTTATTTTTTTTTTCGTTTTCACTCATTTTCGTTTCGTCATCTTCGTTTCGTTTTATTTTCGATTATTTCATTCTACAGTATATATACTTTTAAGATAATAATTTTTTAAGTTATATTGTATCCTTCAACTTTTTTTTAAAAAATAAATAAATAAAAAAATAAAAAAAAAAACGTTTATGTATAAATTATTCTTATTTTTTCGAGCGAGTGTGAATTTATTTGTATTCGTTTATTAAAAGATAAACTTTTTTCTGTCTGTTCAGAGTTTTCAAAGAGATTATTTCTTAAAGATAGGCGAAATCCTTGAAAAAAAAAAATATATATATATATTTAATTATGATATTCTCGAACTATGGTATAATATAACTTCAATTTCTAAATATCTTATCTTTGGCTCATTAACCAATCAAATCTTATATTACATATAGATCTTACAATTTGATTGGTTGATTGCTTAGAAAAACTATTTTTTTTTTTTTTATTGCATTATAAATTACAGAAAGTTTTCATATCTGATATAATTTAAATTTCGTAAATATAACAATTCTTATTTAATATTTTTATTTTTTTATTAGTATCTCGATTTTAATAAAACGCGTAACGGTAATAGTATATCTGATAATCCTTATTCATCTCATTTTAAATCCTGTAATATTCTTGTTTATTTGAACAAGGTTTATTTTTATTTTGTTTTTGTTTTTCTTGTATTTTTATTTTTCCTTATTAGTAATATTCATGAATATTTAAAACATTGTATAATATTATATAATACGCGCGCGCAAAAACTAAATAGATGTTCAATGATTCACTTATTAAGAGGATTTGCATAACAAATAAAAAGATAACCAAAAAAAAAAAAAACTTGAAAAAAAGGGATTTTATCGTATGACATAAAATATTAGTTATAAAGTAACCACAAGTAATCAACATATGTTTATTATAAATAAATAGTAAGTAAATAAAATAATGGGTATCGCTAAGTGAAAACCCGTATATCTAAAAATAGATTATTTTTTTTTATACAGAGGAGTTGCGGTCTTTCAAAAGTTAATGATTATACGTGATTAAAAAAAAAATCGCGATAACTTTTGAAAACCAGCAACTCCTCTATATAAAAAAAAATAATTCTATTTTTAGATATACGGGTTTTTACTTAGCAATTAGAGACTCCATAAACATAATACAGTAAATGCGTATAAATTTAACAGTTAATATTTTTTAATTGAAAAAAGTTTTAATCCTTATTATTTCTTTAATTTTATTTATTACTTGATTAAAATACTTATCATTAAATAATTTAAAGTACTTATTCATAATATTTATATATTTTTACAAAACTGAATGGCGTTATTTATAAGCTATGATTTTAATTGTCTTCATCCTTGAAGATAATTTTAAAATTAACTCTATTACTCATAAACAATTATTTCCTTAAGAGAATTCTAAAAAAATCTTAAGAATATTCTAGTAAACAATATCAATCGAGAAATAATTTTTGAACCAATTTAATTTAGTTAAACAAATTATAGTATGTAATATCTTTCATGAAACTCTATGTGTTGAAAATTTAATGTTCTTTAAGAATACTGAGAACATTAAATCTTCTTTCTGTAATACATCCCATTTATGTTCGTTTAAGAACTTGTTTCCCAGTGCAATCTCATGTGACAAAATTAGATTACTCTTAGGTATTTATATGCGTATTAGTACACTTTTTTTATATAAAGAATAAACTCGGATTACTTAAAATAAAAAGTTGATACAATTGTCTAGTCATTATTTTTTTTTTTTTCTATCACTAGTAAAATAAGACAATAATAAACACCGGTTAGAAGCAATAAATAAATGAATTAATATGGTTTTTTTGAAAATACAAAAAATTTTATTGAATTAAAATGTTTTTTCAAATGGAAAAAGAATTATTTTTCATGCCAAACACATAAAATCACCCTTTATATACATATTTACCTAGATCACAAATGGTAACATACGAGAACAAAATGGGATATATTAAAAAAAAAAAAAAAGATGCATAACTTGATGCAGTTTACAAGGACAAGCAAAAAGCAAAAAAATTTATGCATCCCTAACGTAACATACCCAAGCGCAGATCATTCCTAACTATAAATAGGACCTCAATTTGTTTTTTTTTTTTTTTACAACTCTTACAACTCTTACAACTCTCTATTGAGGTTGTTAGAATATTTGAAATATATAATCAATTTTCAGATTATATATTTCTATATACTCTAGAGAGACCCATAAATAATCCTATTCTCCACTAACTCTACTTTTTTAGTCAATCTATGAATGTTCCAAGGTTGAAGAAGCTACTGCATTTTTACTTCATACGTAACAAGGCTGGACTATATATATGCCTTGGTAGAAATGTAACCGAAAAATATACTTCACAATTGTAACAATTCAGAACAAATGCTAAAATAAATGCTCAAAATTAGGATTAATTGTTATAAATACTGTAGTTTAAAAGTTCAAAATAATTCATTGACAAAATTTCACAAAAAAAAATATATATAAATTACATCATGCACCATACATAAAACCACCAACCTGTTGAGTAAGGCTTGAAATTTAGAGCTAAATGATAAAAAAAAAGTACTTAGTTAAACAGTTTATATAAATAAAATAAGTTTGCAAATTATTGAGATATAAAATTGATTAAGGCAGTTTAAATATACAATTTATAAACGAAATCTCAGTTAAAAAAAAGAAAGCTCAGGATATAAATGACATAAACTGAATTACAAATGAAACATTGTTAGAGATGATAAATAAGAGAACTCAGTATAAAATATTTCATTAAGAATCTTCTAAAAAAGGATATCCGGTCTTTGCCAAAAAAATAAAAAATAAAAAAAAAAAAGAGAGAAAAAAAGAAAAAAAGAAAAAAAATCTATCAATAAAATATAAAGTACATATTAAGACAGATGTACGTATAGAGCCTTTAAACAACCATTTATCATTCACATAATCATCTTTGCATCCATCGGCGGAGGAACCAATATAACGTTTTCGTTAGTCAACTCTCTCTTAAATGTATTGAGATTCTGTGTAAACCTATCCCGATTTTTAGAAGTTAAATTAAAATCTACATCCTCCATGAGAGTTTTCATAGCCTAAGATAAAAATTTAAATAAATAATCAAGAAGAATAGGCTTTTTAATAACTTGAGTAATAATAACCTTTTTCAAAGCTTCTCTTCTTTCAGGTAGTTGGTGTTGCAAAATATTTTCTGTATATTTATTTAAATACTTTTTGCGAAATAAAATGTTAGAATTCAAAATAAGCATTCACCTAAAAAATAGAGACTGTCTTACATCTTGGTTCAATAATATTAAACATAATAGAGGACGTGACAATGACCATTGATTCTGTCTTTCTTCAAATAAAACCACATTAAAATTTGCCACAAATAAAGTAGGTAATACTGTAGGGTATTCGTTTAAATATACTAGAAGCCAATGTTGCTTAGGTTTCTGCATAGCAGATTGCTGAAACACAAATGTACACAGATGGTCAATAGCATTGCATGCAGAAGAACACTGAACTCCATGTTAAATTTTGAATCAAGGGTAAAATTATATAACTCAAAAGCAAAAAATACACATTTTTAAAAACTTTTAAAGGATATCAGGTTGTTGAATGCCCTCTGCTAGAACACGCATAATATATAGAAAGACGTCTGAATCCATGTTTGGCAATGTCATCATATATTCATTAGTAAAAGTATCCAGCCAATCAAACAATGCTTTTGAAATTTTAGGATATGCCTATCAAAATGTTAAAAATGTCCCGATATTTAATGAAAATTTAAATGGCATCAAATGAAAAAAAATAATAATAATTACGAGAATATCTTCAAGCGGTATACTGAGCATCATATCAAATGATGTTTTCAAAGCAACTTCTAGAGCATTATCGCCATATAATGCAAAAACTCCAAAATTGACGTAACGACCAGCAAAAGATTTCGTCAAAATGTTAAAACAAATAGAAATGCCCTTATATCTATTAAAGTGTAAAGAATTCTTTAGAGAACGATAATAGTAAGCGTGCGAGATAATTTTATTGAAGACTTACTTTTCAACATATTTATCAAGACTCATTAAAGGACGGTTTTTAATTTGATGTCCTGATAAATAGAGTTAAATTTATTATATTAATACTGAAAGGAAAAGATTGTGAACAAATTTTTGACCATTAAATCCAAACAATCGAAACTTACCATATGTAGAAATCACTTTGCTTTTGAGATTTGCATTAATAGATATAATAATATATATATATATTTTTTTTAAAAAAAAAAGCAAGCAACAAATGTGGATTTATATAATATACCTTGTTTCTCTAAACAATAATATACCATTCGGTGATGAAATATCAAAATTCAATCTTTGCGTTCGGTTATTTACAAATTCGAGGAAAAACTTTAGAATTGAAATAGCCAATGCGTCATCAGACCAAGCCTCTAATGCGCGACAAAGGATCTGCATATAATTATGATAGAACCATTCGAAAAAAATCAAAAAATTCTTTCGACCCTGAATAGCTGAAAGGAATCCTCTCAGATCACGGAATATTCCGGATAGTGTCGCCTAAATTAGTCGAATCAAAGTATATTAAATTTTTTTTTTTAAAAGAAGCTTCTATGAAAATAGTTCTTAGGTCATACAAAGTTAATTTACTGAATCATTTCTTAAAGTTTCGTGTATCGAAACCAAGAATTAACTTTGCCTAATTATATATATGGCACATTAAGATTAACGTACTTTAACAGCCGGTTGTCTAAACGCCTGAAAAGAATTTAAAGTCCCAAGTTGAGCCATTGTGGCGTCCCAAGGTCTGACAAATTCCTCAAAATCTCGCTCAACATTATCATCAGCAAATAGTATTCTAGAAAGTGCTGAGTAATATACAACACGTGACCGTAGGTTATTCGATGTGTCAAGGAATGGAAAATCCTCAACGGTATGTTTTTGGATAATGAACTGTGTAGTTGGAATTTTGCGGAGTAATCTAACAGAACTATAACTAATTACAATATCAAGTCAAGAGTTAATACTAGTAATAATGATTTTAACGATATATATTATATCTAACTAATGTAGTTTCATACCCTCCAGCTAAATCATTAAAGAGAGTCACAGTACGTTGAATTATCTTTGAACATTGAGCCCAAATATTGAGGTTCGATCCTCTGTATAGAAATAGAAAATATTTAAAATGATTGTCTCAAAAAAAAATTCGTGACTTGTTTACATACATTTTTTGCACAATTAAATCCAAAAGCTAAATATAAAAATAAAAAAGTAAAAATAAATGTATCAAAAAATATATTAGGTGAGGCTGTAAACTGAATGTAACAACTTACCATTGTCTGATCATTAATTCCGAGTTGATCTGATAATTTACTGTATACCTTTGATATTTTTTGAGCACTTTCACCAATATAACTTTTTCGAAATTGTTGAAAGAAATATAAAAAGGCCAATTCTAATTTTTCATAGCCAGTATCGTTGCCGCGCTATTTAAAATATTTGAATAGGTTAATTTATGTTTCAACATAAAAACGTAAATACTAAGCGATAGAATATGAAATAGTCACCGGGCCGTTCCACGATTTGATTGCAGTCAAAAGATTCACAACTTTACATGTTAGTTCTCCATCAATCAAGTCTTGATCTTCTGTACTAACATAAGTCTATATTTGCAATGAATATGATAAAAGTTTATATATCAAAGATGTATAAAGTCACGATTCTGTAAAAATTAAAAATGTACCTGTCTGCCTCCGATAAGGCCTCCAATCATGTACACTAACCAGGCAAATTTTGCTATATTCGGATAAAAAAATAAATAAAAATAACATATTAAATTTATAAATATTACAATTTAATCAATAGCTGATAATAAAAATTATTACTTTCAATAACATCTAAAATTGTCAAATAGTCATGGATGACACCAGTATTTACTTGTTGCAACAATGCCTGTATGCACACATAAAAATGTAAGAATATAAAAAAGGTAGTAACCTAAATAAGTTAGCACGAATGAGCATACCTGAAATTGTTGCGCTATAGGGTTAAAAGAGTTTATGATTGCCACATTAGCTTCATCATATTTACATCGTGCAATATTTGCAAACATTTCGAGATCACCAATGAGTGCATCTTCATTCTCCAAAGGATCTTTTGACAAAAAAAAAAAAAAAATAGAATTTCATTTATTAGTTATCGCAATATATATATATAGATATTGTCTAGGATTAAAAACGAACCATCAATTGCACCCTCTAAGGTTGTTTCTACAGATTCGATTTTTGACGTGATAAAAGTATGTGTTAACTGAATATAAAAGATAATGTAAGTAGATGATCGCATATTGCATAAAATTTAATTTTATATACAATTAAATTAAGTTACCCTGGACGCGATTAATTCGAGTTTTGTTACAGAACTTGGGCGTGAACTTCCGGTTGATGAAATCATTTTTGACCAAAAAGTAAGCAAATATTGCACACTATTTGGGACCAACTAAAATCAAGAAATCGAAAAAAAAAAAGAGAAATTAAGAGCATAAATATTATCATGTCTAGGATAGCGCAAGCACTAATTAAAATAAAAAATAAAAAATAATATAATATAATATAATATAATATACGAAAAGAATTATACGCTGATGAATATCATTACCTGCCAGTTGTTAAAGCCTTTAATTGAAAAGTCGGCAACTAAATCAATCCATTCATTGTACCCAGATTTTTCAGAAATTTCGCTCAACTGATATGTTGATCTAAATCTAGAAAGAAGGCGACAAAACTCATGATAATTGTTCAGGTCAGAAAGGCCTATGTTACCGATTAATATTTCTCTGATCCCCTTCATCAGACCATATAAGAATTTAGACCTTTCTTCTTCATTAAAAAGTGATCTGCGAATGGAAGAAATTTGAACAATAACTTCCATAACCTTGTAAAATTAATAAAATGTAAAGCATTGAATGATTTTGAAAGTAACACAATATGCATGTATAAACAAAGTAGTGGATATCGCACTTGGCTTGAGTGAGGTGGTTGAAATTGTTTATATGCTTCAAACATAATTTGAAGAAATGAGGGATCTTCAATTGTTGAACGCCATGAAGTAGTAACCTATTAAAACGTATTAATCATAATATCCATTATATAAATAGCATTTGACAAAAACACTATAATAATAAAAATATAGATTACTTGAATGCTTCCAACATCTTCGCCGGATTCATCGGGAGTGGTACCGATAAAATCAAAAGCCAAACAGTTGCGAAGTGATGTTAAACAATATTCTTTCGACTTATGTTCTTGAAGGTCTTCAGAAAATAAATAAAATAAAATAAATATAATCGCATGCTCAGTTCGAGCAAACAGTAAGAAAAATATACAAACCATTCGCGAATAAAATTTCACCATTCAATAGTCTTCGTAAAACGACCAATCCTAGCTGAAAAGCCTCCAATAATGCAGTATCCCTGAACCCGATCGCTTAAATAAAATTTTCAAATATCTAATATCTTCGAAAAGATGAAAATAGTACAACATAACATAATTAAAAACATATACCTGTTTTTCTCTGCTTAGTTAAATTTCTTGGAGATTGCTGATTCATTTCCGCAACGACTATCGAAAGAATTTGCAAACCTACAATAATATGATCTGGTGTGGACTTTAAATGCAAAAATGAGTTATGCACGTTGCAATTTCATGCTATACTTATACTACAAACAATATAATCAGATAATATAAAAAAGATTAATAAAATCAAAACTTACTTGAATAAAATTGGACACATCTTTAGTAACATTTTTAAATTCTTCGCCTTCAAACCATCCAACTTTTGTTATAGTAGCAAAAAGCTGAGCAAGAGAAGATAAAACAAAAGGCTGATAGTCAGGGTGTTGTGCCATATAATTCAACACAAAGTTTCCTTAAATTTTATTTTCATTTATTTATTTTTTTGAGATTTATAAAGAAAATTTGACAAATGATTTAGCAGAAAAAAAAAAACGCGTTTATTATTTATTATTAAAACACAATATATGTTAACTATTTAGCCCGAAAAGAGCAAACCCGTACTCAGTTCGATTTTTTGAGACATGGAGAACATAGAATAATGATCCAAGACAAGACCCTTTAACCTTGCGGCGGCAAACATCTGAGCATAAGGAGAAGTAGATTTTTCTAGGAGCCACCTACAAAATATCGAAGTCTCAAGAGGAGAGTGAATTTTTACACCTAAAGGGCTTGCTCCGTTGGCACGTACAGTCGAAGTCTCGGAGAAAGTTGGAAAGGCAATGTCTAGAAGCCTTTCGGCATTGGTACGTTGTTCTTGAGACTTCGGAGAATATAATTCTGTCCACCAACGAATGCAAAGAAATGGAACCAATTGTTGAGCAATACGCGTATTGCTAGATAGCAAAAAAGGTGAATGCTCTATAACCTTGGCACAGGGTATCCAAATATAATAAGTTTTGATTCTGAAGTTCATTCATCGCTCAGGTCACGATAGAATTATCGACTCGAAAGATGTCCGCAATCAATTTTGTAATCACAATAATAACAAAAAAAAAAAACAAGTAAAAGAATGATTTTTCGACAATTAAAAATTAAATACGTATTAAGTATTAATACAAAGTCGTCATTGTGTTTTCTGAATTTCCTATTTAGATATTGATCAAACGTTACACTACAGCGATAGTCATTACAATCAACTAAAAATGAATCCACTAACTTCTAACACTAACATCTGAATTTCTGAACTACACGTGAGAATTTAAAAGATTACATAATTCTCGGAAAATAATGCATTATATGCATCATATTATACGTAATACTAATAAAATGATTTATTAAGAAAAGTGTAAATAAACACAAGATTTTGATTAGCTAAAAAATTTTTTTTAATAATTTTTATAGAGAATTGCTATTGCCATCTCTTATTTTTGCTAATACTACTTTCTAAATACAAAAAAGTGTTTCGGAAGAGATATAATTATTAAATAAACCTCTTTGTTAATATTAATTAAAGTTGTTTATTAGGTTTTTCTAGTTTTAATAGTAGTAAAATAATTAAACTCGAACTAGCAATTCTTAAAATATTTATATTTAAATTTTATAATTTTTAATTTTAAGAAAAAATTATTAGTCTGATTTTATCTTTTCTTTTTTTTTTTTTTTTTAATGGTTATGTTTTATATATTTATTAGATAAAAAGTTATAAATAGCTAGTTTATAAACAAAGTAGTTTAACTTTAACAAGATATATATTTTCTTTAGAATATTTTTTTTTTTTTTTTTTTTTTATACTTAGGCGATCTTGCCTATCATTTTATTAAGAATAAGCTAATCTAAGCTACAAGTAAAGTGCTATACTATTTACAGCAAACTACTTTTCTAAAACTAATCTGGACTTATTCAGTTATTTTTCAGCACCTAAGTATGATTTGTCGTAGCAACTATTTCTCTCGTAAGAGTTTAAATTTGTATATACAAATTTCTAGCTCTTAGTTAATGAGAAACTGCTACTAGCTTATATCAAAATCATCTAATTTGTTTTAAACCTTAACTATCCTTCCTTACTACTTGACTTTATCCATCTATTAACTCTGTCAGAAGCTACTTTTTGAATTCTTGTTTCTTTCTTCTTCTTTGATTCTTTTGTTTCATTTATAGGAGATATATTCTCTTTATTCGTCTTTCCTTTTTTCTTTGTCTTTTTTCTTTTTTTCTCTTTGATTGTGATGTTGTGTTCTTTTTCTTATTCAACTATTATTTTACATTTGAACTTCTATAATCATTCATAGAAACAAGAACAAAATTATTTAATAAAGCTTATTAATACCTTGTTTGTCTTGCTTTTGGACTATGCTATTTTGCATATGTCTGCATATTGCTTCTTATTTGTGAAGCCTCTGAGGTGCATCTTTCTAATATGCATCTTCTCTTCTGAGTCTTCACTATAGAGTATCTTCCTTAATGCGTTATCCTCAAGTGATAGATTCAACTTTGTTAACATTTCAAGACTTGTTAGGTATAGAGTTTCCTCTTCTAGATTCTTCTAAATTTTTTAGTAGATTTTGTATTCTGCTAGGTGATATAAGGTTTCATCCTTTCTTAAGCAGGCTATGTATCTTCTGCTCTTGTATAGTTTAGAATTTCTAAGATAGCAAATATCTTTTATTAGTAGAATATCATTAATACATTTTATGTGAAATATGAGGTCTCTGCTTTTCTTTAGACTAATATACTTTTTCCCTTGTTACTTTTTTAGTGCTTCCCAAGTGTTTTTCCAAATTAGCTCTTTGCTAGAGTTGTCTCCTTGATTTAGAGCTATGATATCTGCTACTTTGCTTAGTTCGGCCTATTTTGTTTCATATATTATCGCAGTTGTTATATTTATGAATGATCTAAGTGAACAGTCTATTATTTGGTCTTTCCACTTTGATATAGCTTGAATATTGCCTAGTGTTGTTTCTAGTACTTTGAGTATATCAGTTCTTCTAGTACCTTCCTTGGCTAAATAATCTGCTTGCTCGTTCTATTTGTCACTACTATGACCTTTAACTTTATGTAATAACAGATTTAGATTTTTTGCTATGTAGCAGTCTTTTATCTGTCTTAGTAAACTTTTATTTTTCATTTTAAACCAACTTCTTAACTTGTTGTTATCTAGACACTTTTCAATAGCTTCTATTGCTGCTTTGCTATCAGTAAATATATATATTTAAGCCCTACATGATGCTGTTAGCAAGGCTACCCATATAGCTCCTAATTCTGCATGAGTTGATGAAAGTCAGTTTTCTATGCCACAACTAAAACTGATACTACTATCTATCCTCTTCCTATTTCTGACTAACCAACTAGCTCCTATTCTACCTGATCCCAACTCTCTGCTGCTTCCTGCTAGTGTACTATCTATGTAATACCTAATAACCTCCTCCTCTTTTAGCTTCTCATATATATCTACTAGCTCTCTCTTAATTCTTTTGTTCTCTACTACTCTTTATATGATTGCACTTTTGAAGCTATTTGCTATGATTTTTACTAATACCTCTTGGTCTGCCTTATGATTTGTGCAAGATTCTTTATTCTCAATAAATGCTGATAGTGGTACTCTCAGTATTACTTCTTTTCTATTAGTTTTCTTTACTTTGACTACCTGAGGTTCTTCATCGTATCTAATGCTGACTAGATACTCATTATTACTAGTACTTCCTATGTTGCAATAGCTACACTTGTCAAGTAAGCAATCTCCTGCTAGTTGGCTTAATTGTCTCCAGTGCTCAACTATTACAAGCTTCTCTGTTTTTCTTGCTATTTTTTCTATATGAAGATCTCCTCTTCTTTTGAAAAGCACTCATTTTCTTTTCCATCTATCTTTGGATATGACTTGCGGTTGAGCTTTTATTGCTTCTCTATTAGGACCCTTTACTTTGTAGAGGTCTTATACTTCGCTAGAGCTATTTTCTTTCAATATCCTTTCTTCAAATTTTTTAAACTAGCTTAGAGTACGGCTCTTTGTTTTTCTACCTCTTACATACTTTAGTTGATCCCAAGTTAGCAGGTGACTTCCTGTACTATTTATGAGCTGTTCTAGTATGAAGAGGTTCATCTTGTCTGAGTTTAAAAAGGTACGAAGCTCTTTTGTATCTATTAAGTTTAATATTTCTGTTTCTTTGATATTTAGAGCATCAGAGTCTTCTAAGATCTCATTAATCCTTATATTTAGTTTAGCTGCTTTGTATAATACTTTTACAGCCAAGTTATTTGTAGGAACTGGCTTATTAAACTTACAGTCCTTGCTCATAAGGCTGCATAAATATTTGCCTCGTAGTTGTCCTTCTTTAACCCTTAGTCTTGTTATTACTCCTAGAGAATCTTGCTAGTTGAGATGTAGAGTGAGCTCTGTAAAGTGATGTACAAGCTGGTTTTGTCAGATTGATCTCATGCTCAAAAAATCTAAATAGCTACAGATTAAGTTTGCTGTTGACTTGGCTAGCTCAAGTTTGTTTTTGATTAAGATCCAAATTGGTCTTTGTAAGTTTTCACAATTTGATTTGCTTATAAAAGTTGTTTGTGGTCTGTATTCTATACTTGGTAACAAGACACTATTGTTTAAGTATATGAGCTAGCTTGCTAATAGCTTTTTCTACCTTATAGCTTTGCACATTCTGCTTACTTCATTTCTTACAATATTTAAACTATAATATTGTTTTCCTTTTCCTGAGATCTATACTCTTAAGTATCTTACTATTATAAAATGAGTTTCAATTATTTTATTTTATTATTTATTTTATTATTTTATTATTAGTATTTTTATAAATAGTTAGTTTCTTGAATGTACTTTATTATTACTTTTACAGATAACTTGTTAAGCTAAGAATAGATTTAAATAGTACTATTTGACTCAGATCAATTAGACCTTTCAAACAAGCTATAAATCATATTTGTAGGACAGATAGTTATTGAGTTATCTTAAGAATAACTTTAGCATAACTTACAATTCTTACAATTCTTATAATTCTTACAATTCTTACAATTCTTACAATTCTTATAATTCTTATAATTCTTACAATTCTTACAATTCTTACAATTTTACTATCAATGTAAAAGCTATATAAACCTTTTCTTTCTCTTTGCCCTAGATTAGGTTTGACTTCTGCAATCTCCTTAATATTAGAATTTTCTTAGCACAGAAACTAATAGATAGTCTTGTATTATCAATATTGTATTCTAAATAAAGTATAATCTTTGCTTTTTCATTAACTTTGTAACGAACTGCCACAGTGAAGTAATATTTCACTTAGATACTGTTAAGAGCCTCTCTTTTGTGTCTTATATTACTTGTGTTGAATTAAGAAGGCCAACACTTGTAACAATACTAATAAGGCTCCTATCTCTATTATAGCTCATACTCATTATATATATACATGTGTAATTTGTAAAATCAAAGACTTATCTTGTGTTGATACTAAAAACAAAGGTCATTCACCAGATTATACTATTACTATTTTACTCAAAAACCGTTATTTAATTCATTGTAGCAATATACACAAACTTACTACTATTCTAACCAAAGCTCTTCCTCAAACTCAAGCACTTAACAAGAACCAAAAAATTGTAGTGCTTTTAGCTACTATTGCAATAACTCTTGCAAAAGAAAAAATTAGATGCTTCAAGGTTCTTAAACAATATACAAAAGCAGAAGTTGAACAAATTCTTAAACAAAATAAATAACCAAATTAACAACAAAATAATTCTACAGGTATTCAACAACAAAAACAACAAAAACAACAACAAAACCAACAAAATAACTAACAACATAAATTAAAAGAAGGAGAAAAAGAAAAACCTTCATTTGATTTCTTTAAAAACTTTCTAATTACTACAGAAATAGAATCTCATATATACCTTAATACCCCACTTGCAAAAAATATTTTTAATGTTGTTAAACCTGATTTTATTAATTTCAGGCCAGGTCAAATTCTC